GTGAATTTATTTAAGTTTTGGGAGATTGATAAAATGGGAAATTGGGAAACACCCCAATCTGCTGGGCACGGAGCTTCCATGTCCCATATTCAATATTTTTTCTTGCATTTTCAATTTGTTTATATTTTCTTGCATTTACAATTATTTATTTTTAATAAATTATACAAGTACAAATGTGGGAAAATCTTATCTGAAATATGAGATTAGAATTTTTTAATAAATATCCGAAAATCTTATATGACATGGGACACGTGGCAATTTTAGAGGATGAAAATCTTATTTGAAATTTGAAATATAAAATGGGAAATTGGGAAACACCCCAATCTGCTGGGCACGGAGCTTCCATGTCCCATATTCAATATTTTTTCTTGCATTTCCAATTTGTTTATATTTTTTTGCATTTACAATTATTTATTTTTAATAGATTATACGAGTACAAATGTGGGAAAATCTTATATGAAATATGAGATTAGAATTTTTTAATAAATATCCGAAAATCTTATATGACATGGGACACGTGGCAATTTTAGAGGGTGAAAATCTTATTTGAAATTTGAAATTAGAATTTTTTTAATAAATATACGAAAATCTTATATGAAATAAGACATGTGGCAACCGAGAATCTCATCCAAAAATCTTATCTGAAATTTGATGGACACGTGGCAACTGAAAATCTTATCTGAAATTTGATGTTTTGATAGTGCCATAAAGCCAAAAAGAACAAAAAAGTTACGAAATATATGTTAAAAAAAAACCCAAGAACATGAAATTATTTTTTAAAACATTTTTCACAAGAATCCAAGAGGCACCCCATATTTCAAAAATTCCTTGAAATGGACCTCCAAGACCCACAATAGGCCCTATATTGGGGGTTATGTTAGATTTTAATCTATATATATAAAGCAAAAAGCAGAGAATGGTGAAACATTCAAAATACCAAAAAATGCCATTGGTTTAATGCAAATATTAAGAATTAAAATTATTAATTAAATGAGGATAATATGGTAAATTCACACTTTTGCGTATTAAAAAAAATTAAAATTAAAAGAAAAATCAGATAATGGATCATATTTTTATGGAACACAACCACCCATTATCTTTTTTAATTCTAAAATAAATTTAAATTTTTAAAAAAACACCTCTCGCAGGCGCGGAAGCGTGTGCGGAGAGGCTAGTAATAATTTATTATTCAAGTTTGACAAAGGGAAAGGCTTTATTTGATTAATACTTATATTGGGGTTTATGTTAGTTTTTAATAATAATTTATTATTCAAGTTTTAAAAAGGGAAAGGCTTTATTTGATTAATATGGTCGGTTGGCTTTACAATAATACAATGTATTTAGTAATTACATGATTAATATTGATTACAAGAATTGTTGTCCACGCCTATATAAGTAGAATTGCCCTTCTTTCTCTCTCGCAATTTAACCTAAAGCCAGACATAGCCATGGACCTCGTCTCATCCTTGGAGCGCCAGAAGTCAGTGGTGCTCGATAAGAACGTCGGTGAAAAAGAAATTTTCTCGCCAGATATGGTTCCCCTCAATCGCGATACGCCAATCTGCATTGACAGTGACACCCAAGCGGACCGTGATGATATATTAGGGCAAACTGTTTCCATGAATTTTTTTGATAAATAGGTGCAAACTGTTTCCATGTAGTCATTATATTGATTTATTTGTTATTATTCAACTGATTTGTTGGGTTTTCACATCACGGCCTTTTTTTTATTGGTATTTGACAATGTAATTGCAAACAGGTAGCAAGGCTGATCTTGATTATATGCCTTTCGGCTGGGGCCCTTCTATTCCTCCTGGTATGCTTTTGATTTTAGAGACAAAACAAAATAAAAAAAATCAATAGATAGCTTCCTCCCTCCTCCCTTCTTGTCCCAACTCCTTGCCTGCCCTTCCACACCCAGGCATTTTCATTCATCCGTTGCATATGCAGCTTCTCTATATATGTGTTGTTATTTAAGTTCATGTGCTCGCAGCAATGATCTTTGGGTTTTGTCATCCTCATTCACTCATTCTTTTATTGTTTTTATTGTATTTAACAATGGATATGCAAAATTGCACAGGTGAATGTGTATTGTTTAAAGATAGATGAGCATCATTCGTCAAACTGCCCTTACAGGAAGCGTGTCCCAAAGAATGCAACAGTTGGCAATGGTTGTGAGATAGTTTGTTCGGGTTGTGGTCAGTTTTTAAGAGGCAACTGTTGTGGAGATGAAGGATTTGCGATTTCCAAGGTGCGTTGTATTTGTGGGGAGATTGGTCACTGGCCTACAACGTGCCCAAGCCCACTCCGCCAGGGGAAAGATATTTCATGATGGACTTCTGTTAGAACTTCTGAGGTTTGCTTGTTTTCAGGTTTCTTACAACTTCTGTCAATTGAAATAGTAGACAAGTTTTTGGGACTCTAAATTCAAAGCAATTATTTTTAAAACATTGTATGTTAATTACTATTTATAACGAATGTGTAGAATTTTTTTATCGATGTGTAGACTTTGCGTAACTACTGTTTTTAGTAGTTGATGAGGATTTGGTTACCATGTTTTTGTTGTTGGTGGTTGTTGTAGTTTTGAGTACTTTAGGCCCTGTCATACACAATACAATTTTCTAGCTAGGGAAGCAAATGAATACAATAGTCGACTTGGAAAAAGAAAAATTAGAAAATGAGGAAGCAGTTGAGAAATCTCAAGAAGAAGAAAATTATGCTGCTATGCCGACTCATTCTCCTCCATAGAAGCCATATGTCCCATTTATCCCTTTTCTGAAGAGGTTGGAAAAAAAAATATTAATGGGCAATCTTCTAATTTCTTGGAGATGTTCAAAAAGGTGCAGATCAACATTCCATTCGCTACAACTTTGGAACAAATGTCAAGTTATGCAAAATTCATGAAAGACATCCTCTCCAAGAAAAGGAAATTTGATGATCATGAAAAATCCAACTAACTGAAGAATGCAGTGCCATCTTGCAACCAAAGCTTCCACAAAAGAAAAAATAGAGGGAGTTTTAAAATTTCATGCACTATTGAAAATAATTTGTTTGAAAAAGCTTTATGTGATTTGAATTCTAGCATTAATTTACTACCTTTATTTGTTTCTAAAAAGATTGGCATTGGTGAAAATGACCCAAGAAAATGATACCGAACGGCGGCCCCTATTGTCTTGAAAATTAGAAAGCCAGTGAATGTGAATCAAGGGGTGTTTGTGTGCACTAATCAGGGCTTTCTTTTTCACCCTCCATCCAGCACTGCAGCACAGTTTCCATAGAACCCTGAAGACAGATTTGTTTATGGCAATGGTCTTGGGCACCCACAGTTTTCATAACCTGGACAACCCTCCAAGTGAAAAGACTAATCTGCCCCTGATTACATTGGCTTCAATCAAGCCTTGATCACCTGACCTAGTCAACGTTGCCAGGGCTCATCTGTCTTCTGCAGAAACCTGATTAGGAAAGAGCAAAGCGCCCCAGATGGTGGATTTTTGTTTAAAATTAGAAGGATGGTATCCAAGGTTTTTTTAACCTTCATATTCCCTGACACAAATTGCATCAAAGAGACAAGCATTTAAGTTCCCGTTCCACGTGAGGTTGCAATTCTATAATGTTGCCCACTGACCATTTTATGTGCACGTGTGCACACCATCTTTTTTATACATGCATACCTGGGAAACAGGGGTAATGACAATGAGACTCCCCAAGTCAAGAAGGACATCAAATTACTAACTTTTCATTTCTCTAATCGTCACCCCTTGATTGTTAATTTTGCATTACTGACATAATTGTTGAATGATTAATCTGTAACTAAGGGTACCAAAATACAAAGACATGCTTCAGATTAAGATTAATTAGTGCTCAATTCAAGAACACGACACGATACAGCTCGATTGCCATCCCTACACTAATGGAATTTTGCAAAACTGGTTTAGCATATAACAGGTTCAGAAGCATATTAATCCAAACGGGAGGGAACTATACAAAGACTGGTTGGGTCAGAGGTAAAGTAAAGGGGTAAGTTATTATATGTCTTTACTTGATGAGAAAACTAAGCATTGTTTATTCACATAAAATATAGAGAAAGTGCATAGGATGCTCTAATCTTGCATTGCTGAAATATGGGGTACCAGCTTCACCACTTCCATAAGAAGACAATGTTGTTAGATATTTAATCAGAACTGTGAGTTGTTGTCACCAAATTGTGAGACTCAAAGCTCTTTTTTAAAGAGAGAAAAAAAGTTGAATAGGTCAGAGGCCTTGTTGGGTTCTAAGTTTTAGTGTTCCTAATATAAAAAAACAAATGAATTACAGTGTTTTCAGTAGCAGTTGCAAAATTTATGGCCAACATTACTTAAAGTCATAGTCTTCTTCTTCACACTGGCTTTTAATTTTGTGAATGTGATTCAATCAATTTCCAAAAATGTATTTTTCAATCATGTTTTGGTATTGTTAGCAACTCTGATAAGAAAAGGAAACTGCTTTTGGAAAATAGATTTGATGTGGATCCCTGAAGTCCAATGAGAGAGAAAGGGAGAGGTGCACGTGCAATTGCATGTCTGCCCCCTCGTGGTTCTTCCCTTTCCAATTTAGAAAACTGAAACAAAAACCAAGCACAAAAGCCTCTTCTTATTCCGATCAGCATCACTCATTGTATGGAGAATTAGAGATATCACTTTCTTCTTGGTGTTTCTCTTCTTACATTCCAAGACTTCAACACTTGCTCTGATCATCCTAAACTAACAAAAGTTGGTGCTTTCTTCCTTCTGTTTGATTGACACTTTGACTCACTTCATTCCCATTTCAACAAGGCCTACTCATCTAATGCATTGATATTTATTTTTGCCACTATGCATATGCTCTGTTTGAAAGCTTATCTCTTTGATATGGGTTTGTCTTCAAGTTTAGTTCTTGAGCAATTTTGCAGTTTTGCTTCATGGGGTATCAGGGTTTTGCTTCAATATTTTAATTTTCTTTCATGATTTTCATCTTTTTATAGGATTCCTTGGTGGGTATCTACCATTTCATGCGATTCTTAATTGGTGTTGAAGATTAAAGATTTTCAAATTGGTGTTTGGCCTAATGGTGGAGCTTCAGTCTTGTGCTCCCTTGGTCAATGCTTCTGCACTATGCGTTATAGAGGAAGGAATGCGAGGAGAGAGTGTCAATGTTATTGCTGAAATTTCAGCCGAATTAGAGAGAGAAAGACAGAAGAATGCAGAGCTTATGGAGAGGATACTAATTCTTGAAGCTCAAATACAGGAAAGAGATAAGGAACCTCCTCGAACAGATGGACAAGTAGGAGCACCATTTTTTGTTTGGTAGTTTCTTAGTTTTTCCACTAGTATCTGGTGCTTTATTTTTTATGAATTTTGATTACAAACTTACAGCAATTAGAGGCTCAGTTAAAGCGTTTTACTTTATGGTCCCATTAATCATGTGTTAATTTTTTATGAGAGGCATAGTTTTATCAAGCAGGGATCACATTCCTTTGGTTTTCACGTCTTCACTATTTCGTTTTGACATTTTGGATAATCTGAACATGTCGAATAAGGAGTAAAAAATGTTAGTTGTTTTTTATTTCTGTTATTTCTTTTCAATGATCATGTTTTTTTTTCATCAATCTTTGTGGATGAGTACTGAGTAAAGCAAATGCTGATTTGCAAAGGGTTTATAACTGTTGCACTCAAGTTCACATGTTTATGCTAACCTCTTAACTTTTGGTTTCAGGGAAGTTGTTCCAATGCAATGGAAAGAAGCTTCAAGAAGTTCAAGAGACAGAAGATAGAACTCACTAGTAAAGGGACTGAAGATAGAAATATTATCCCATCTGAAATGGCTTCACAGAAGAAGCATGATAAGCAATGCTTGGCCCTTCAAGATCCAATTCCTGAAGACCGTTTAGTCAACTGGATGAGCATGGAGGAAACCCAGTTTTTGCATTTAGAAAAAGTTAAAGATGGTGATTCAGCAGACTCTGATGATACTGATGATACTGATGATGATTTCCGTGAAGAGGATTGTGTTAATAATGATCATAAAGAAGGGGAGGCTGATGATGTTTCAAGAATTGTTAGTGTCCTGAAATATGAAGTTGTTGATAAAGGATCAGATGTGCCATGTACAAAGGATTTCTCAGGTGTGGGTGAGCCAGTATTTTCAAATGTGAACCAAGAAACAAATGAGCTACCTGATACAGGACCAGTTTGTAATGAGATGGAACTTACAAACCAAAACAAGAAAGAAACGAATGATTTCGGAAGTTACAATGTACCACCTAATATCCTTACTTTGGAGAAGGAGTTTCTTCATACAGGATCTGCAAGCATATCACAACAGAAAAAACCTCCAAAGGTGGCATTCTGCCCAAAAGAAGTGAAGAGAATAATTGATTCAGAATCCCTGTTACAGAAAAATGCTCAATCCCACACCATAAGGAAGATCATAGTTTTTGCATCTCTTGGTATTAGGCATGGTTGCGAAGATATATATGAGTTAGACTTCAATCATTTTAGCATTTTAAGGAAGGGAGAGCCATATATGTCTCCAAAAGATCCTGGGGTAAGAAAATTAGTATATTATGCTATCAAAGTTGGTCTCTTCTTGCTCTAGTTCTTGTAATTGCTGTTGTCATTACACAAAATTCTTTTTATGCCATTTCATTATGACATTTAAGTGATCACCAACTGAGGTGTTTAATGCTAAGATGAATGATCTGATTCAACTCTTATGAGATAACCCTATCCAGTTGCCGGCTTATCATATGATAAGTTTTGCTTCCAAAATACAAGTTTTTGATCTTAATCATTCTTTGTTCATCATCAAAAAAGAAATTTTATTTATTTATTACCAGGAGCATGTTCTATATGAGAATCCTGGTGTTCGGAGAAAGCTATTATATCCAAATCAACAGAACCCAACATTATGTCCTGTTCAAATACTTGAAGAAGAGAAGGCTATGCGGCCATCAGATCCTAGCTGCCCATCATGGCTGTTTCTGTGCATCAAGTATGGTGGAAGGACAAGAAATCTTCCCCAAAATGAGTAAGTAGTATTGAGTAATTGGTTTTTTGTGTGAGTGATCAAGGCCAAGGTCACTTGTTCATGTCCTATAAATATCTAAGAATTTCTACTTGCAGCTTAACTAAATTATCTGTGCGTTAATACTTTTCAGATATGTGAGGCAGCGTATGGGAAGAAACAAGCTAAAGTCTTTTGGGCCACTAATGTGCCGAAAGGCAATGCTAGTTCATATTCGCAGTGGAAGCTTCTTCTTCAAGGCCTTGGGCATCGCACTTCTTTTCATGGCTGGTTTTCCTGATGATCTGGTTCAAAGGGAAACCAAATACCGGAACTTAGACTTGCTTCAGAAATATTATAGGTATGCAGAACTAATATACTACTTGGAAATGGATAGTTGTGGAGCAGAATGCAAGATATGAGATGAGTGTCAGTTTTATGGTTTTTTTTTTCTCTTTGAAAAAAAAGAATGAAAAACCTGTTTGGATAGTTTCGTATATATAAATTTTTTGGATTCTAAGCATCCTAATGCTGTTTGTGTGGTTTTCCTGAAGAGTACATAATTTTAACAGAGCATAGTTTTTTTTCGTTGCAGGACAGATGATGATGCTGAAGGAGAGGAATTATTTCTTCCACATCCCATGCCTTGTGATACAGTAATATCACAACTTCCCAGTTCATATGTCTGAATACTTCTCTTTTTATGTTAAAGATTGACAACTATTAAAACTTAGTATGCATGTGTCAAAAAGAAAAGCTAGTTTTGAGTTTCTGATTCTGAATTTGCTAATGATCTTGTGCTCCTTCAGCAGGCTAGTCCAGGTTCTCAGAAGTTGTATGGTAAGACTTGTCCAACAAAAACAAAGGGGAAGAAACAAACTCACTCAAATAGCAAGCCTCATTATATGCAGAGGTCCTCATTCCCACAGACTACCCTTTCAACCTCTGCACCTTCTGCTCAATTTGGACTAGTTGGTCATACCTCTATTCAAACTCACACAATGGCAACATTCCAGTCCATGCCATCTCAGTCTCAGACACCATTAGATGCTCCACCAATCTCAAATACTTTGATCCCCAATGCTGGTGGTACTAATAATAATATCTCCTATTGTAGCCAAACCCCATATCATATTTTCCCCCCACAACCAGCAAACCCTTTTGTGCCTATGGTATTTTGGCCTCCCCCAAACACATTTTCTCCTGGACCTTATCAATCTAGTTATGGCTACCCGTCTTTTCCTTCTACCGGAAATTACTTTGTCCATCCACGGCCATATTACAGCCATCCCTCTTGCAGTCCTTTGATCTCCAAAATGGTAGAAGCAGTAGGGAAAAATGTTGTGGCCTCAGAGGAAGCTGATAGTGACTATGATTGCAGTTCAAGCAGTATTGAACCAAAGAAGAATTAGCAAGGTGCTATGACAGCCAATCAATTATCATACATATATGTCTTCCTTGTAAATTATCAGAACTGGAGAGAGTTATCTTATTCTTAAGAAATGAAAGAATGATGCATTTTTGGTCCTCCACTTCTCAGAGGGTATGTAATTTCCAAATTCTTTGTTGTTCAATCTAATGCTGTTCTTGCATCTGCAACAGTTTTCTGTTGAAAGCAATCCTTGTCTTGTGAAAACCAAATGACCTGTCCACATTGCACTTTTCACTTGACATATCACCTTCAGAGTTTTACATAGCTAAACAGAATCATTTTACTTTAAATTTGACAAAACAATCCCATAATACATAATAATAAAATACATCTCCATCTCTTCAATGAATAACAAAGTATAATCCATGATAATGTGCAATTGTACAAAAATAACCGCAATTCTTACTGCGCATTTCCACAGTAAAATTGATGGATAAAGATATGAGCCATGCTTCAGAAAACCAAGTCTCTTATCCGAGAGACTGAGGAGTGAAGGAAGTTGAGGTCCTTAACTTTTCAATGTGGGACAAATACTCTCAATATGCCCCCGCACGTGTGACAAACTTTCAAGCTTAACACGTGGGCAACACATATTAGATGACGTGGGAGCACGTGTGGCCGTTGGGCCCAACACGTGAAACCTTGCTCTGATACCATGAAGAAAGTTAAGGTTCCACCCCAAAACCAATTGGCCATGGGAGGAGTCCCAACTCCTTATAAACCCAAGCTTGGTCCCTTAACTTTTCAATGTGGGACAAATACTCTCAACAAGGAGAACCACATGAGCAATAGCTTATGACATGTGTCAACAAATCTCTCTCTCTAGAATACATAGCTAAAGGTTTATGGATCTGATGCCTCCTGTCTCTCTTTGTCTATCTTGAAATTTTCTAATGATTTAATATCGCAATAATGTGAAGCTTTTGGAACCATCCATCCTCTAGTTAATTATTGTGTCTATGCAAATCTTTCATAACCATATCCTTCCAAGCAATGCACACATTACTATCTGAGTACCCTACCCACCAACTGATATTAATTAATTCATTAGTGCATTGATCATATATTTGCTTACGTGTTATTGAGAATCTTATCCTTTCTATCTTTTGTCTTTTGTTTCCATTTTAATTTGAGCTACTTTTTTATTTTTTGACTGATTATAATGTATTTCCCCACAACATCATGATATCATGAAAGATGCTTGATTTATAAGCATGAATCATCAATAACCATCATCATTGAAATCCATGCATCATACATGTTCAAAGTTCAAACCATCCATACATACATACACACATCCCATCATCCCCATGCCCATCTCATCCAACGCCAAAGAAGGAAAAAAAAACAAAACAAAACCTACATCAACAACTAGTGCATGATCAAAGGCTCACATGCCTTTTGACCAGAGCACTGGACACTGCCATAAAAACAGAACAGCATCTAGAAAACCCATCTTATTATGCAGCTTGTCTCTCTCACACTTTATTTCTTTCTCGGTTGAAAAAGAGTGGATCAAGACTTTTTTGTTTGACAAAGTAAAGGTTTGATCTAGTTGTGGATCTTGTTGGCAACATTGCACTGCTGCCTGATCTCTCCCTTTGTTCCTGTAAGAGGGTTGTTCTCAGAGAGAATGGTGAAGGCTCTTGAAAACTCCTTAAAGAAGTAGTCTTGGCTCTTGGCCATTTTCTTGACATAGGGTTTTGTCCTCTTGTCTGTGGCTAGTTGGTGATCCACCATCATCAAACCCTTGTTGTCCAAAATGTTTCTGTAGTAGTTGTTGTCAAATATCATGGGGGTACCACGGTCATTTCTCACATATTGAACCGCTTTGGGGTCAGGGATTGCATCAGGGCACTTCTTGAGCATGTGACCAACATGGTCAGGGTTGAGCTGAGGGTCAACTTCTGGGTACAAACGGTACACCAGCTTCACACAGTGTGTTCTACCAACACTGTGAGCTCCTGTTAATTACAATTAGACCATAATCAGTGAAGTAACATGCATGCTAATCATGCTAATGATGTTTAAGAACTTTAAAACTATGTATGTATGTATGGATGGTGATGTGCATATATACCTAGCAGGGCAACCAGACCAGGGGTGTCAATGCCCATGTCAGCAAACTTCTCAAGGACAGTGGACATGCTCTCATTGTGGTCAGGAAGGTACTGCTCAAGGATCTCTGCTCTGCTCCTCCTTCCATCTCTTCTTCCAGTTTTGAGAGGGATGAATGGGCCTCCTAGCTGAAAACACAGTAATTAAGTTGAAAATAATTAAGAGAATTGTACTTGAAAAATCTACCAAATCCACAATTAAAAGGAAATAGCCTTGGGGTCCCAGAAATAGATAAAAATCTGTACAAGTAGTTCAGATCTCTGTTTTACAGACCAACAGAATATGAAAAATGTACCAAAAACCACAAGAAAAAAAGGTAACAACAGCTTTAGCGGTATTTTTTGGACAAAAATCTGTAGAAATCCTTGTTATCTTATAGCTGGAAAGGGAATAATAAATTATACTAGAGTTCTTGTCAAATTTTACTAAATAAAGATCAAAACCAAATTGTACCAACTTGAGATCTCTGTTTTACAGAAGAAAGAGAGTCAAGTCAAAGACAAAGAAAGGTCAAGGAGGAAAGTACCCTAACAACACCCTCCCTAGCAGACAAAACAAGAATATCTGAACAAGAAACAACTCCAGGGCACTCCCTCTCCAGTGCTTCTTTAATTTCTTCAATGTACCTAAAGTTTCTCATCCCAAAGCTCCTGTCCATCTCCTTCTCAGACAAGGACCTCCTGGTTGAGTCCAGCAGCAGGGAAGCATCACATGACTGTAAAAATCCCACAAAACCCAAAAAAGAAAAGAAAAGAAAAGGGTTAAATAATTAACTAACAGAAAAGCAGCAAATATTTATCAGAAATATAAATATATATATACCTGGACAGCACAGTCATGGAAGATGTTTCTGAGCCAAGAGAATGCAGTGTTCTTGTGGCGCTTGTAGAGAAGCTTGACTTGTTCTCTGATAACATCTTCAGCCTGAGGACAGCTGTCCTTGTAAAAGTCCATAACAAGACCTGGGTCCTCTTCATTCTCAGCAAAACAAGACACTGCTGAGAAAGCTAGCAAAGCAAAGAAGAAGAGAGCTCTGGAACTCATGGTTTCTGTTCTGCTGCTGCTGCTGCTTTCACTAAATCTAAAAGCTCCTTGCCTTGCCTTGCTTTGCTCTGGGGTCTTGGCTACTTCTTAAATAGAAGAAATATGGATAAAAATGGCATTAAAAATTTAAAATAAGAGACACTTGTTGCAATTTTGGGCTCTGTGAGATGTCCTTTTGACCTTTTTCAGTGTTGTTTTCACCGCAAGCATTTACCGCAAAGCAGAGGCTCAAACTTTAATATGCTAATTTTTGTGCTGGAAGCTGGCACGTGGTTACACTTGTGTCGTGTTTGCACTGCATATACAGTTCACAGAAGAAAATGCCAGAAGGTTGAGCCGTTACAATCCATGTAATATTTTGTAAAGATGGACCACAGTTTGCTTGATCTCGACCTCATCTTCAAGTATTTGTGTAAAATGGCTTACGTTACTTATCTATTTTTCCCAATTTTGTGTAGTCACATTTTGGTGACTCACATCACATAACTTGTTCCAAACTTCGGTGCCCACCACCTTCGTAATTGAATTGAATCCTCCATTTGATAAATTTGACTTCTTCAACCGATATTAGAGAGGGAGAATCGAATAAAGTAAGCTACAAGTGCCTTGCTTTACTTTCACACCCGATATTAGAGAGGGAGAATCGAATAAAGTAAGCTACAAGTGCCTTGCTTTACTTTCACACCCGATATTGGAGATGGCATCATTGAAGCCACCCAAAAAAAGAAAATCAATGCCAAGGCTGTCAAAAATGAAAGTACAATGAAGACACCACTATGGGCATGCGAGTGCAAGTACGATTGATTTCGACATAATCATTAAATTATATCTATGATTTAACTTATTAAGCGTAAGGTAATTGTTGAACTGACCTCTCATGTTGAGGTTTTCCACTAATGTGCAAGCTTAATGCAACTTAAACAACATAAAATTACATACCATGCATTTCTTGAAGCCAAATGTAATGTGGAAAGGCAATGGCATTATGATTATAAAAAAAAAAACTATGATGACACGTGGCGGCCCACAAAAAGAAAAGAAAATGAAAGAAAACTAACATTATCTTTCAAGACAAAAACTAAACATTCAATTAACCGAGAATAACTATTTAATTTAGTGACATTCAGTTCTTATTTTTTATTATAGAAAAAGCCATTGAATTTAGATCTTATTAACAAACAAATATTATATAAAACATATGAAAATTTAAATGGTGAGTCGAGTGGGACAAACTAAGTTTGGTTTTATTTGGTGTCGTTTTATATTAAATTGTGTTAAACCTAACTTAAGCTAAGCTAATTAACTGTGCTATTCATTTGTAAACAGTAAAACACTATGGCTACCGACACTTTGGCCTTCAAGTTGAGAGAGAATTGTGAACATCATTTGTTGGGTCTACATGCACTGAAAGATGGAAGATGGCGGGTGGAGCCCAAGAATTATGACTCATCGTCACGTATTAATTAATTGTCTACTTTTGGTGAAAATCAAGGTATCTCCGCGCGATTGCGGGGACTAACCCTCGAGGTACTGTAGGGCGCAAAGCGAGGACCTCTCCCAACAAAGTCTGCTCTATTCACAAGCGCCTGGGATCGAACCCAGGACCTCTTGTTTAAAGGATCCAAGCCCCTTCCACTTGGACAAACTCCTGTTGGTATTAATTGTCTACTTAATTAGCACGCATCTTAGCTGTTAAAGATGATCATCTTTTCTTTTTTCTTTTTTGGTCAAGGCATCTTAAATTTCTAATAATATATATTGGAACTTGTTCTACCACTACAAGTTTAAAAGAAAAACAGTAACATTTATCCACATTTTCAATAAATAATTTTGCATGGTTTTGTCAGATACCCCATTTCATGCACGTGCCTGTCATGTGTAGGATCACTCCTCCTAATAATAGGACACTTATTTATTTAATTTTTAATTTCCCAAAATTATTAAATTTACAATGGTATTAATGATCCTGTCTGAGTCTCACTGACAAAGCAACAAGTAGGAGCAATTTACTAGTTTTCTTTTCTTGCACGTAGAATCTCAGTAACATCTTTTTTTTTTGGTCTTAAATCATGGGGTGGTTCTGGATGGGCCCCAACTATGGATGGCACCTTTAAACCTTAACCACAACCCAGACTAATCCCCACTCACACCGGATCGGCCCGTAAGGGGTAAAGTGTTGGCCAAAATGGTGACTCCGTACGAGAGCAGGGATCGAACCCCTGACCTCTCTTAAATCTCAGTAACATCTTTGGATTATAGATTACATCATTTTTTTTATTTTTATTGAGTCAATTTAATTTATTATGACCAACGAACAAGTTCACAAGGATCCGGCATTAGATCCTGGCGGGTCTACGATCCACCTAGTATTTTAATCCATCCGTACATTGAATTACTACATCAATTTAAATGGACCGCAACCATAATCCGCATTCCAAAATTATTTTTTAGACTTGAATTAATTTGACTGTTTCAAAGTACAAGATGTTTGCCTACATGCCATCTACCAGAAAAACTTCCACACTCCATTGTATTACCCCATTCTTCCTCTCTCTCTCTCTCTCTCTCTCTCTCTCTCTCTTCTCATGTCACTTGTTAAACAAGGAGAGAGATAGAAAGAAGAGGGCAATACAACCCGGGTGGGGAAGTAGATAGATGACACAACATGCAGGCTTTCCAATTTTAAAGACCAATCTAAATTCAGAAACAACAAGTACATAAATGACAGGATATGCACCATCGGATGAAGTTTAATCTAATAATCAAATATAAGATTATCAGAAATGAAAAATAAACTAAGATAGTATCAAACAGGCCAAAACTAATCGGACTCAGAAACCCCAGTGTGCTGCCAGGAGGGCCAGGACCCCGTGAAAATGCGGGTCTTGAATAATTTTGTTGCTTACAAGTTTTACAACAGACAGAGGCTTTAATTTGGTCATCTCTGCCTCTGTCTACATCTTACATCTGCAACAAGATGACGAATATGTGGGGCGTACCATTTCACTCTCTCCAAATGTTCTATTGAAACTTCCCAACAATGACCTGCAAACAAAAGCAATTTACACTTACACCACCCTCTAAACTGGAAATGGCTTATGCCTATGTATTTAATATCCATGTGTCTGAGAAATAATACCTTCAGATTTAGCAATTTCACCTACTGATTCTGATACATGTTTAGTCCATAAACTCTCTTCCGAGTCCTTGACATTACCATGCACATGTAGCATCCCGCCCTCACTCCTGCATTGTCAGAATTACATCAAATTGTGTACATTGGTCCATATGTTAGAGAGAGAGAGCTTCAACTGCTTATGATGCTGAAGCATCCTTTGGACATACAATTAAAGCATTGATCTCGCATAGGAACTAATTATTTAGAGTGCTCATAAGCGAAAATATTTGCAGAAAGCATTTAAAATCGGAAAAAATGATGACAAGAACACAATATAAGGACATATCACCTTAATGCCCTAACAGCAGTGACCCAGCTACCCTCACTTGTTGGAATGAGACCGAGACAGACCCGATCAGCCACTCCCTGTGAGAAAACAATCAAGTTATAGCCACACACAGCAGAACCTCGTCTTGGACAATATCCCTGATTTGTATACTATTATAACTATGATAATGATGAATGCTTGCACTATGTGAACACAAAATGAAGTGAAACAAAAAGCAAGTGCACACGCACGCATAAACAGATGAAGTTGAATGATATCTATATCAGTTAGTAATGAAAACGATGTCAGTCTTTGAACATACTTTAGGTGCCACTGTCCGGTTATCTCCTTCAAGAATGATACACCGATCGCTCACTGAATTGGCTTGCAGATTTCGCCGCAGTGCCTCAACAGCATGGGGATTCCATTCACAAGCATAAACTAGTTTCACGTTGGCCCTGGTCAACCAACATTATCACTTAGAAACAACATCAGCAGCAATCAGGTGCATCTTAGGTATAAGAATGATAAAGCAATATGTATCTAGAAGATTCATCCAAGCACCTAAAGTCTGCCAACGAATGTCACAAATGTTTTCCTATGATAATTATTCTTGAAGAAAATTTCACCTATTCCAAGAAAAAGTAAAAGTAAAATATAGAATTTAATGCATATTTTTCTTACTTGCATCTCTAGTATGAAATCCTATTCTTATTATCCTCCTCCTTTTAATAAAATCCATATTGCAGACAGACAAACAGACTCTGATAGGCTGACTATTTTTATGTTCTATATATACACCAAGATTTGTGTGTGTGTGTGTGTGTGTGTGTGTGTGTGTGTGAGAGAGAGAGAGAGAGAGAGAGAGAGAGGTACCTGACAAGAAATGGCAGAACAAAATAACCAATTCCAGCAAACAAATCCACAACAATCTCATCTCTGCAATTCAGAGAGGCCATGCGAAGCTTCTCAGAAAGGTTGCCCCAGGAGAACATACACTTAGTAGCATCAAAAGAATAGAGAATGCCATTTTCGCGATGATCAACCCATCCATTATCTCCTAGAAGAATCTCCAAAGTACTGTCCCTTGTGCTGTTTGATGCAACTCGGCCCTGGTGAATATATACAAACCAAAATAAGGCATGGAAAATGAGTAAACCAAATAACTACTCGAGAATAGTTTAACTTTAATGAGAAAAACCACTCTTTATAAGTATTTATGTATATTACTTACTTGGCGTGCAAGGCGATGAGCATTAACTGATTTGGCAATAACAGGCCAAAGCTCCTCCTGCATTGAGTCCCATAATGGATTCTTGAATGATGTTGCCGGAAGCACAACTATATCTCCAAGTCGCTCCCATCTAACAAAAGACAAAACCATTTAATATGAGAATCACTATCATTCATGGTCATTGTATCACCAATGCAGCCCTTATCTATAGGTTTTAACTGAAAAACGTGATATGTGATATATAACTAACAAATCTTCTGTGTTATTATTAACTTAACTCCTCTTGCGTCCATACTTGTTTCCTTTCCCCAAATATTCCTCTTATACATTATCAACCCTTACTCCATTAAGACAATTTTTGCCTTTTTACATGATTTATAATAAGCTTAATTGAAAGAAGAAAAAAAAAATACATACTTGCACAGGAGAACACAAACACAAACCTTGCTGGTAGCTCCTCTAAGAGTTCTTCAGGTAGTCCTTTATCCTTTATCAGAGAGCCCACAGCTTCATTCATTACTTTCAAGGGAGATTTGGCAGCTCTCCTGACTTCAAGGACTTCATCTGCCAGCTTAGTAGCACCACATTCCTTTAGAATGTCCAAGGCTTTTGAACAGGTGACCTCATTCAACAAACATTCTTCCCCGATAACTGGTTTAACAAAGTGATCACTCTCTCCTTCAGATAAATCTGTCAAAGGACGCTTATTTTCTTTAAATACACCTGAAAATTTTCCGTTTACTGGAAAACAAATATGTAAACCACCTTTCCTGGAGTAAACCTTCCTTCCAAGATCTAACCATCCAAACTTTTTCAATATATCCTTGCCTACTTTTGCATATTTTCTTTCGAGTTGTAGAATCCAATATGACTCTACCTGCTGACCTATGCCATTTTCCCGGGGAAAGTCACTCTCAAAATTCAGATCAAGAGCTTCAGTTAAGCTTTGAGCATCTTCAGCCTGTGGATCTTGGAATCGTCCACTTTTCTCACTATTAACCATTTCATAACGGTGAGCATGCCTCTCTCCGACAACTGGTTTAATATTATTATCTATACTCATCAGGGGAAGCAGGTTGATTTTCATAGGCTTACTAAACTTTGTTCCAAATGCATAACAAGATGCGCCACCACCAATCATAACAAGATCATCACCAACAATATTAGCTGTGCTGCGCACAAACAAATCTTCACTAGTAGATTCAAGTTTCGCATGCCTCCACACACTTTGCGTCAAGTCAAGTATTGCCAACTCATGGCAATGTTGTCTAACTGGACAACCACCAATAACTCCAAGATAATTCCTGTATACAAACATTGAGTGGGAGAACCTTGCATGTGGACTTCTCCCAGCCGCCTTTTCCTTCTTCCATTTACATGTTTGGATATTAAAAACGTACAAGTCTCCAAGTGTTTGCTCACCATTATACCCTCCAAAGATATATAGTTGAGATCCACATGTCACCATTGAGTGAGAATGTCGGGCGCATGGATGTTCCCCACTGACAAACAACTCTTTCCACTGCAGATTATCTGTATCGAGGATATGCAAGGAAGAAGTGATTGTATCATTGTTAAGTCCACCAAACACATATATCTTTGAGCCTACAACTGCTGCAGCATGCCGATGCCTGCTTGACATAAATATAACTAACTTAGATGCATTTTTTAGAAACAAAAATAACGACCACTTTAGTAGATTATGCAGTTAAAAGTCTCACCTAGGAGGAAATACGTCCCCAGAACATTCTAAGAACTTCCATTCATTCTTTGATGTATTGAGGACCCAGACATCACTCATAATTTTCTCAGGGTCAGACCTGCCTCCAATAACAAACACACAATCTCCAACCAAAGAAGATGTGTGACCCAATCGCGGGGATGGGCTGCTCTCTACATTAATTGCTTTCACAGTGCCAGAAAAAGGATCAACCAGCCAAGAATGATTTCTTCTTCCATGCCTTCCTATGCCTCCAAAGCCACCAAACACAAGAACACCATTCTGGTTTTTAGCTTCTAATGCACAAGCAGAATGACCCCAAAGGAAAAGATTCTCTTCGGGTTCACCAGAAATTGCCATCTCAACCACAGACAGACTACAACTAGGAACTTCCACGGACCCTGCCAATGTTTCAAAGACTCAGACTTGCTTTCACATTAAAAGGAAAGGTGTCCTGCAGTACAGATTTGCAATCCACTTTCATTTTCCATCAAAATAAAGGTTGCAACTTCAAAAAAATACCACAGAAACCAAAAACACAAACAAAACAACCCAAGTAAATTTCAGAGTTCAAAATCATCAAAATCAAAATACCAGAATCAGAATGGGCATTGTCATCTGTTGCTTCCAACTCAGCCTCCCCATCTGCTACAGTCCCACCATTCGCAGGAGTCGGACCCAAAAATCCCCCACTCTCACTCTGCAAAGCCAGGAAAAATGCTTCAGTCCGCTTCCTGTTGGCCTCCATTTTCTCGTTTGCCACCCCAACAAGGAACCTGACATACTCGCGCGATACCATAATCGCGTGACTACTCCCCAGCGGCACTTCCAACCGTATCGAACAACGTATCGCGATAATCACGCGTTTGCTCGAATTCGTAATGCCAGACTCTCTGAACCCACAAGCTATTGCCTTTGAAACCAAAGACTGAGCCGAAGCCAAGTCCTTGCACTCAACAGCTATGATAAGAGGCTCGAATCTAAAAACGAGGTCGTTTCTTTTCCTTCTTCCATTTACATGTTTGGATATTAAAAACGTACAAGTCTCCAAGTGTTTGCTCACCATTATACCCTCCAAAGATATATAGTTGAGATCCACATGTCACCATTGAGTGAGAATGTCGGGCGCATGGATGTTCCCCACTGACAAACAACTCTTTCCACTGCAGATTATCTGTATCGAGGATATGCAAGGAAGAAGTGATTGTATCATTGTTAAGTCCACCAAACACATATATCTTTGAGCCTACAACTGCTGCAGCATGCCGATGCCTGCTTGACATAAATATAACTAACTTAGATGCATTTTTTAGAAACAAAAATAACGACCACTTTAGTAGATTATGCAGTTAAAAGTCTCACCTAGGAGGAAATACGTCCCCAGAACATTCTAAGAACTTCCATTCATTCTTTGATGTATTGAGGACCCAGACATCACTCATAATTTTCTCAGGGTCAGACCTGCCTCCAATAACAAACACACAATCTCCAACCAAAGAAGATGTGTGACCCAATCGCGGGGATGGGCTGCTCTCTACATTAATTGCTTTCACAGTGCCAGAAAAAGGATCAACCAGCCAAGAATGATTTCTTCTTCCATGCCTTCCTATGCCTCCAAAGCCACCAAACACAAGAACACCATTCTGGTTTTTAGCTTCTAATGCACAAGCAGAATGACCCCAAAGGAAAAGATTCTCTTCGGGTTCACCAGAAATTGCCATCTCAACCACAGACAGACTACAACTAGGAACTTCCACGGACCCTGCCAATGTTTCAAAGACTCAGACTTGCTTTCACATTAAAAGGAAAGGTGTCCTGCAGTACAGATTTGCAATCCACTTTCATTTTCCATCAAAATAAAGGTTGCAACTTCAAAAAAATACCACAGAAACCAAAAACACAAACAAAACAACCCAAGTAAATTTCAGAGTTCAAAATCATCAAAATCAAAATACCAGAATCAGAATGGGCATTGTCATCTGTTGCTTCCAACTCAGCCTCCCCATCTGCTACAGTCCCACCATTCGCAGGAGTCGGACCCAAAAATCCCCCACTCTCACTCTGCAAAGCCAGGAAAAATGCTTCAGTCCGCTTCCTGTTGGCCTCCATTTTCTCGTTTGCCACCCCAACAAGGAACCTGACATACTCGCGCGATACCATAATCGCGTGACTACTCCCCAGCGGCACTTCCAACCGTATCGAACAACGTATCGCGATAATCACGCGTTTGCTCGAATTCGTAATGCCAGACTCTCTGAACCCACAAGCTATTGCCTTTGAAACCAAAGACTGAGCCGAAGCCAAGTCCTTGCACTCAACAGCTATGATAAGAGGCTCGAATCTAAAAACGAGGTCGTTTTGGTTGTCTTGTTCGTCTTTACGAGTTGAGTCGGAACCGAAGAGGCGGTTGAGGACTGAGTCGGGATCGGCCGGGTCGTGGGTGATGAAGAGCCACGTGCCGCCCAAGGCTTTCTTCTTGGTCTTGAGTTTTGAGTGTGTGGGTTGGGAGAGGATAGAGATACGGCCGGAGCAGGAACTGGTGGTGAAGTAATTTAGGTGGCTGTTGAGGGTGTTGAGGAGAGGTATGATGGGGGCGTCCACCGTGCCTTTCGGTGATTTGTCTGTCTCCTCTGACCGCAGTGACGCTAGCGTCGCCGCTTTTCTTTTCTCGAACTCCATCTTTTTCTTCTTGTTGCAGACTTGCAGCTTCTCAAAACCCTCGCAAAATCTCTAGCTCAAGCTCAACTGCTGAGGCAGAAGGAAGAGTTCGTCTGGGAAACAAAGGAGTGAGGGGTAGTTTGGGAAGTTCGATTGTTTAATCGTTTTAAGTTGAGGAACTAGGCGGCCCAGTTGGGAACGAGCTGCCCCGTTTAATTCGAGACTGAGAGTATCATGGGCCGAACAAGTACAAAGAGATTTTGGTTTTTGACCCGACCTATTAAGTCGGGTCGGGTCACAAAACATTTTAGTTTTCTTTTTGGTTGTCATGAACTTATACTCGAGTTTCATTTTGGTCATTCTATTAATTTAACGTGTTATTTTAGTTCTTCAGCTCTCTTATTCGTGTCAATTAGTCATTTCGTCATATTTCTCATCAATTTTAATTGCGTGAATTGCACGTGATGAAATTTTTTGGGAATAAATCCGACTCTTTTTAGTCCATCTTGAGCTATCCAAAGCAAAGTTGGGGCTAAATTGGGATTCTTTTGATGCTTTGGGTTCGAATTTGGAGATTTGATGGATTTTGGTGAATTGAGGTTTCTATTTGAGGGAAATGGGATAGATATGTGAATTAGGGTTTCAATTTGGGAAAACTGGATGTAGAGAGTTGGGTAGGTTGTTTTAGAAGATACTTGTGTTCAAATTGATCAAATAGATGAAATGTGATGGAAAGACTGAATTGGCATGATTGAAAAAATTAAAGGACGAAAATGAAATTTAGGGACTATTACGGTTAAAATCAATTTTTTTTTTGGTTACATTGGAGGGGAGGGGAAGCCACCACCACTGTGGTGGGAATCCATTGTCAAAAACTTCTTTGTTTTAAGAGCATCCATAATGGACTTCCTAAACCACCTCCTTAAATAAAATTTAGGGAGGAAGTGAGAAAACCCACCTCCACCCATGCTCCCTTTCCAACTCCTAAAATAGAGACCTCTAGGAGCTCTTAAATACGAGGAGAGAGAGATGACTCCTAGTGGTTCCATATAATTAAATACTTCTTTACTTTAATGTTATTTTAAGTATTTATTTTATGCTAACTATTTTTTATTATTATTTTATATGAAGAGAGAGTATTTATGCTAAACTGAAAAAAGAAATAATGTTTATGATTCTCTAAACTAGGGAGTATGGTTGGAGTTGAAATTTTATAAAGAACTCATAAAATAACTTTATAGTGTTTTTAGCTAAATCTATATATATAAAGCAAAAGGCAGAGAATGGTGAAACATTCAAAATACCAAAAAATGTCTTTGGTTAATGCAAACATTAAGAATTGAAATTATTAATTAAATGAGGATAATATGGTAAATTCACATTTTTTTTCATATTAAAAAAAATTAAAATTAAAAGAAAAATCAAATAATGGATCCTATTTTTATGAAACACAACAATCCATTATCTTTTTTAATTCTAAAATAAATTTTTAAAAAAGCCTTTTGCAGGCACGAAAGCACGTGCAGAGAGTCTAGTTTTAACTAAAAAATAAGGAGCATAAATTCAGCTTTTCTAGTGTTCCACTTCCACCACAGTACCCGCCTAATTTATAAATCATCCAAACGCAGCGTTTTGTAAGCGAGGGACGAGGGCAAATACCGCGAAGCGAAACGGCTAAGATCCCTGGCGTTTCGAGTATTGGTAGACAGGACGAAACGACACTTGCCGACGTGGCTCATCTCCAACCCGCTCCTTCCTCGTTGCCCAAAACGGTGTTACAGAGGCTGTGTCCCAGAGGAGCAAACACCGATTTACAGGCTTCACAGCGGCTGCACAATTCTCGAGCCTATCATCTCATTTTCCGTATTTCAATTTTCGCTCGCAATCACTGGTTTTGACATTTTGGGACGTAGGGTTTTTGGGAGTGAAATTAGATAAAATTTGATGGTTGTGGATTTTAGATTTTGATCTTAAAATTCGAAGGTGCATTGGGTTTTTGGTGTAATTAGACGCCAAGTCCAAGTTTACTAGAGTTCAAAACAGGCAGCAGGCGGCCTTCTTCTTCCCAATCACAATCATCGTAGCTTTGGCATTCAGAAGTTGAATTATTGGCAGGGCAACACATCATCTGATATATCTATTTTCTTTCTTTTAAAAGGTGAGGGCTTCGCTTTGCATCAACATTGTGTTGTATTTGTTTGCTTGTTTAAACGTTTGGTTTTAGTTGAATTTGAGTTTTGTTTTGTCTTTTTAATAAATTGTCAGTTCAGGTTGAAGAGTTCAATTGAGTGATTTTAGCATTGAGCTAAGTGATTTATTTAGAGACTCTTATCGAATATAAAATTGGGATTTTTTACTTTGAATTTGTTTGTTGGGTGATGGGCGTTTGGGGGGGGAAGTGTACTTGGTAGCTTAGTCTGAGATATGCCCATTTGTTCAACTATTCATTATTGCCTAATTCAATTTCTAATAAACATACTTCGTACTTAATTCAGTGTATCATTACTGGTCAGCCTGAAATTTAACCTTTTTTTCATTTTCTGCCATGGTTCATGTGGCAAAGGTGTTTTAATTGTCATCCCAGAGACTTTTGGGCCTGTTATGACTTCAAGATTTAATTAGAATCTTAAGGATCAGCTGCATGCTATATTGCTTGGCCAAAATGTCTTCGTGTCCAAATGCACAATCAACAAAAGTTGGGTATCTTCGTCATCAAAATGCTCTTCCTGCTACTGAAAGCTTGAGTGAGCAGCATGAGAGTAGTTTGAGACTTGAGGAGGATGAGGATGAGGATGAGGACGAGGACGAAGATGTAGATTTCAATCCTTTTCTAAAAGGAACCCTTTCACCAGAAGCTTCTTCAAGTCTGAGCTCTGAAGTAGAAGGTTTAGATGGTGAAGTTGTTGACAGCAGCAGAAACACTGTTGAAACTGCTGGCATTAATTCGTTGAGCGTGGCTCGTGAGGTGCAAAAGTGTTCTGTTGGAGAATCTGAGCATGGGGAGGAAGAAATCGTGATGCAAACTACTGTTTTTCCTGAAGGTGCATCTGAAAATGAATTTGAAAAAACAGTTCCTGGAAATACTAACAAGAGAATGGCTGCCTTCATCACTCAACCAGCCAGTGAAACTGTTCAAGAAAAGGATGATGTCTCAGGCAGTGGAACTGATGTTAATGATGCTATGGTAGGAGGGTTGAGTAACACAGAAGACATCCAGAATCCCACTATGGATTTAGATGATGAGGATGAGGATGCTATTTGTAAACGCACCCGGGCCCGCTATTCATTAGCAAGTTTCACACTTGATGAACTCGAGACTTTTCTTCAAGAAACAGATGATGATGATGACCTCCAAAATATTGATGATGAAGAAGAATACAGGAAATTTCTCACTGCTGTTTTACAGGGTGAAGGTGATGACCAGTCAACTAAAGAAAATGAAAATGCTTATGATGAAGATGAGGATAATGATGCAGACTTTGAGATAGAACTTGAAGAGTTACTTGAGAGTGATGTGGATGAAAATGTAAAGGACAAAGTTGTGGAGGAGAATGGAGGAGCTGGAAGACGACCGAAGACTAGGCAGAATAGATGCCAAAAAGCTCCTGCTCAATGTAAGAAGAAGATTTTAGGACAGACAAAAAGGCCATTGCGCCCCCTTTTACCAGTTTTGCCAAAGGGACCAATGTCCTCTTTCTCTACCCAGGCCAGCAGAACTCTAATGCCTGGGACAACTTCAAGCTGTTTGTCTTCCACAGTAGAAGATCGTTCTATAAATGGATTCACTGCTCACCAGATTGGCCAGTTGCACTGCTTGATCCATGAACATGTGCAGCTACTTATTCAAGTATTTTCTCTGTGTGCTCCTGATTACTCTCGGCAACATATTGCCTCCCAGGTTAAGAGATTGATCTTTGAGATGCTCCATAAGCGTGACGAGGTACTGTCACGGAAGAGTGTACCATATCCTGCTGTTTGCTTTTTCCCAGCAGTGCCAACTGAGTTCCCTAATTCCTACACGACACAAAGCACCTTAGTGTCATCCCTCGCATATGATGCACGTAGAGAATGTTTTTCTTCGAATAATCAGATGGCAGTTTACCCAAATATTTCTCCTTCCAAAGGTAGACGTGAATGCATTCCTAATGGACAGGTGGGGTTCTCTCAGAATATGGGGGGTGCTTTCTGGGTGCCTTCTATAAGTGGTCCTGTGCTATCTGTCTTGGATGTAGCTCCACTTAGTTTAGTTGGAAGATACATGGATGAAGTTGATACAGGTATACCATGAAGGTCTCAAGTGTTTTTCATGCTTTTCATGCTTTTGCTAGCACATTTGCGTCGAGAAGTTTGATCTTTATCTGTCTGCCATTGATTTGAATTGTTTTGACAGCTATTCAGGAAAATCGACGGTGTTACGTGGAAACTAGTTCTGATACACGCCTTGAAAAAGAGCCTTTGTTTCCACTTCCTGACTTTCCATTATGTGTTCAAGCCAATTTTGAAGCTGTAAGTGGAACCGGTTCCTCAGTTTCCAATGTTGCTCCATCTTCGTCTAGTCAACAACCACCCAAGAAGTCACTGGCTGCTACCATTGTTGAAAGTACCAAGAAGCAATCGGTTGCTATAGTCCCAAGGGAAATATCAAAGTTAGCCCAGATATTTTTTCCTTTGTTCAATCCAGCATTATTTCCCCATAAGCCACCGGCTGGAAACATGGCAAATCGAGTGCTTTTCACTGATGCAGAAGATGAGTGAGTTGCACGCTTTCTCCTTTATTCTTAAGTTGGTGGCTTATCCTGATTTGCTGCTGCTGTCAGAATTTAGATATCATGTTTAGTATCAATCTGCAGTATTCCTTTATTGTAGTTGTATAGACTTTCTTACGAAGGTTCATGTGTTTTATTTTGGAATTGCAATGCAGATTATTAGCATTGGGGTTGATGGAATATAATATGGATTGGAAGGCAATTCAACAACGTTTTCTTCCTTGCAAATCTGAGCGCCAGGTAATCTTTTCTAGACTATGTATTGTGAGCACAAAATTTTCTGATTATTGTCTTTGCTGCTAAGTCTTTCATTATTCATGCTCTTCTAATCAGCAGACGAGCCATATGTTTTAGTACA